AACGGAGGATTCCACGATAAGAAGTCGAAGAAGGGAAACTTACCTAGTGGAGAGACATGCGGACCCCCTAAGGTGCGGACAGCACGCAATTCGCATAGAAGGATATGATATCCCGGCGATCTAGCATGGCCTTCCCTTTGGCGCAATTGGGCGGAACGCCCACCGACTATCTAATCACTCGCCGCAGGTCTATACGCGGCGAGTGATTAGATAGCAGAGAGAGCGTTAGCGTTGAAGAGGGCACAACGATGAGAGTCGCATCAATGCGGAAATCAACGGGCAAGGAAGGGGTCCCATTTCTCGGGTTCTGGGCCGTTTCACATGGTTTCTTCATCCCTGCTCCACTGACCACCTCTATCCTTATTTCCAATGAGCTACCTTTCATCGTAAAATCCGCCTTTAAAACAGCAGTTAACAAATAAAAACAATTAAATTAACAATTGATAAATTAAATACTTACATGACTGATCAACTAGATTGATCATGGACGTCAATCCAGTCTTTTTTATCTGGCGGTGAAGAATTTTCTCATCCACTGTGCTCTAAAAATAGAGCAATTCTTCAGTCAAGATAAAGAACGTAATAGGAAAGAAACGTAAATATTGAACACACATCAAGTTTTAACACTTTCCTAGAGAAATTGTCTTGGCTGCTTGCAAGAAGTTGGTCTTACGCGGTTAAAGGTAGCCCTCAGCCAATATGTGATAAATAAACATATTTAACCTTCCTCGTCTCGTCTGCATTCAAAATGTTTCGAGACTTAGATCAGCTAGACACATCATCGTACCAATGGAAGATGTTCTCCCTTCGTGAAACCGATAAAGAAAATAACAATAATCGATGTCAGCTTACCGCAGTCACAAGCCTGTAAATATGACACGGTCTCGTTTGCCCATCTCTCCAGATCCTGGCCATGGCCTGTAGATCGGATGCGGGGTTCCAGTCAGAGTCGAAAAGGATCAGTCGTGAGGCTCCAATCAGATTCAAACCCACACCTCCTGAGGAAGAGAAATCTAATTCCAGTGAGTACCAACGTAAACTTACTAAAGAACAGTAGAACATGCCGGCTTTTGTGCTGAGCAGGAACACATTCTCAGGATTTTTTTCAGAGTTGAACCTCGTGACCAAAGCTTGCCTATCGGCAATCGGTGTCTGCCCATCAAGTCTCAACACACGCAGTCCAAGCGAAGAGCACAGTGAAGCCAGCATATCCAGCGTCTGCAAAAAGCTGCTGCAAGGCTTAGTAATCAATTGTTCTAACAGTGAAAAACTCAATATTTGTGTGCTACTCTCATGAATCTCATTATCAATCCTACGTAACGGATAACAGCCATGTGGCCATGAAATATGAAAACAATCTGTGACCAAATCCATTAACGTTCAAAGACATTTCCACGTCCATCAGTTGCGTGACTTCGCTTACAATTACGTGTAAAGCCCATTCGTATGACTTGCTGAGCTAGCAGTACTTGCTGACCATTGACGGCTTCTAGTTTCAATCTCAGTCTCGGGCCTGTGACGAATAGCAGTGATGTCCGCGCACTACCGTAACGCAGAAGTTCTCTTTCGCTCCTCCGAATTCGCCAGTTTCAAGCCAAATGTCTGATAGAGCGAAGCCGGTAATATAAACATTGGCTACTCGCACAGTTATCTGGTTAGTGTGAACGCTATCGCCAATAGATTCCCAAGGAGTGGTTTTCAAGTACTGACATCGAGAAATAACGTTCGGGCAGGCGCCCGAAAGTTCTTGCAAGGACTCAAATCAGATTGTAGAGTCCCCATGCTTTTGATTGGAACTGAATGAGAGGTGCCACTATGACCTTCTGTGATACTGTCTACCACTTACTCTTGATTGTTCAGATGTCAAGGAATTTCGACTGGCTTCTTATCGACCGCGAAAAACTATCTATTCTGTGTCTATCTGCCGGCATTTGGGTTTGGCGCAATTCTTCCCAAAACGCTCTGAGAAAGAAGGCAGTACGCAAATCAGGTGTGTTGTGGCGCCGGCAGGCCGCTTGTGTCAATCTATTCGGCATCGAGGTTACAGAAGCCGTTTGCCTAAATATATTTGGTCTGTCGATTGCAGTGATTAACCTCGATAAAGGTGCGACACCGTGGCTCCACTCTGATAATATCGGACCATATAGTCTGACTAGAAATGAAGCCGGCACTACGCCTCACTCAACATCATCGACAGAGGCGGCTCCCTCCTGCAAAGAATGAGATTGAGCAGCGGGGTGTTTTTAGCACATTTCCATAGCTCGATGTTGAATTCTAGTTTTTCATTTTTCTCCAAGTAAGTTCTTTCGATGACAAGATGTTCAATGAAGATCGGTCGGGCACTCGTACTGGCGCGTTTCAAGACGAGAACCACTATTGTTGTCTCGCTCATCGGCGGCTTCTCCTTAATCGGGGGAGGAGCATTCTGTAGTGGTTTAACCCTAAAGATTCAATTTAATTCTTTAGTGTGAGTAGAGAAGCAGGCACTAACTCAATAAGCGTTAGATACTCAGTTATAAGGATGATATCAATAAGGTAAGACTCAACTAGTTGTTATTGGTTAGACGGGAACGCACAACCCACCAAGCAAACTTTCGGCACTTCATGCTATGCAGAAAGCATTCGATCCACCCGAAAAAACACTTCGCGAAGAACTTTATCTCAATTGGCAATTTCCAATAGAACAAGCCTATTATTTTCCATGATCTGCCCATGTAATTCTGTATAGGTAAGACGCGCAAACGGTGCCCAGCCTTATGCATCAGTTAACCGGGTCGGATCCTGCTCTTTGCAGCCAAGCCTTTTTCTGTGGAGGGATATACAGACAGTAGCAGTTCCCAGAAGATGGGTCTAATCTGCAATTCTATCGGGATACGGTGGATATCATAACACGTAAGCTCTACGCAAATGAAAGTTTACGACGCAAATGCTTCAGTTTTGAGAGACGTTCATAAAAGGATAAAAGGATAAAGCATTTGCCGTTGATCAATCCCTTTTTGGGATGCGGCACGCATTCTACTTCCATTTGTACATTCGTAGTGGCGTTTGAATGCGATGTGGCCTATACAATGACTTGCGGGGCCAGCCGATGTTCAAGTCAGTGTTTTTATCCTCCCAGACAAGTCTGGTACCAATTAACCGACCCCGGAGGGATGGAAGGCTTGGTTGGCCCGGGCGACTCACGACCCAGGATTTGATCCCGGACCGCTCGCGTGGTAAGCGCGCCACTTGTCACTACACCACTTCCCCCATTACAAGGAGGTGGAAAAATTCTACCCCTTCGCTGCTTAGAAAGCTCTGTTTGATTTAATTTGATTCAATAACTGATTTTGATTCAATAACTGATTTAGGTAGGTTGCTGAGAAAAGAGGAAGGTCACTCATTATTCGATGCGGGAGAGAAGAATTAACGTGCTCTTTTTTGATCCACCATACATATCTTCCAATCTATTATGATCGGCTTAAAAAGGGTAAAATTGATGTAGGAAAGTTTGAAGAAGTTGTAATGTCAAATCAACATCACAGTCTATTCCTAAACTATACGATCAGCAGAAGCATGAAGTTCGGACTCTCTATAAAAATTGAAGTTCTTATGCGGGTCGATCTCATGGCAGCAGCGTTACAAATCAACAAGAGTGTAATATAGGAAAACGAATGAGACATAATGATTACCCTTGAGGAAGTTAGAGACTACAACCACACACTCTCCCATCTGACGAAAACATGCCATCATTTCCACAAATACGCTCAATTTCCCTGAAAAAACGGGTCATGAATGTCGAATACGCGGCGCATTCGTCATGAGCCAAAATAGAATTACTTCTCGATTCACTTTCCAGAAACACCGCAAGTCATGAATCAAATGAAGAATAGAGGAGAGCACAGAGAAAATTCAGGTGACTCCTCTTTCCGCGCCCATTTTCTTGAGAGATTTTATTGTAGCGTTGAAGATTACCAAGCAGGAACAGCCTACAGCAAATACTGCAACACTTCATGTTATCCTTCTATTCTGTAGGATGGGGCACAAATATGGACAAGATTAATTCCACTAGTCGGGATTAGTTCCCAAGAGCCAGACCCTTCTAGAGTGAGAAAGAGGGGTCTAGGAGACACGACACTGTCGCGACTCAAAGTGCGAGGCAACGGCGCTAAGGCCTTGCCTTGTGTGCTGCCGTGCTGCCAGCGTTATCAACCACGGCATACGTGGTCTCTGCGTCCTCTCGCGTACGACGTACTATCTCGCGTTCTCCCTCTCCTCGCAGCGCTGTGTCTCTCCGTCGTACTACGGCCGGCCTCTAAGGGAAATTTGTTTTCTATGGTGCTTTTTGCTTTTTCTCCTCACTAATGTTCCTCATTGCACCCCTTGCCTAATTTTGAACAAAATAACGCATCAATTCAATCCCGACTCATGCCTTTAAAGTGCAGCAAATGCATTCACTGAACTGAGCAGAGTTCACGTCTAGATCTTCAAAATCGCCATTGTTTTCTGTATATAAGTTGTGGTTTCATGGCTTCACGGTCTTTATTTGGTAAATAGCCCCACTTAATTCAAAACGAGCAGAATTTCCAGTCTCATTCACTGCCAGATGCACTCCTTCCAGGATCCGTCGTAAATTGTAGTACACATGAGGTGCTTCTCATAGAGGTCAATCGGTGGAAGCCAGAGGGTCGCTGTGAAAATTATCAAAAAGCACCACGACGTCACCACGATTTCCTCATCTCAGTTGTTTTCCGCCTGTGTGGGAGTAAAATTTTGAGCCAAACGTCGTCCAAGACAGCAGTTCGGAAAAAAGGCCAGAACCTTCGATTTGAGTGTAGCGGATTGTTTATTGTGGTCGATAGTAAAGAGGAAGATGTGCGCAAAAGCAACGCAGTTTAACTGGATCGCTACAGCGGTTCTTGAAAAAATGAGAATTTTGAAGGAAGTCATGCGGCAAGCGGTCTTCTGTACGGTACGTTTGAACAAAATTGGCAGGTCTATGGGCAGCCATTTCGGATGATAAATTTCAAGAATTGTTTGAAAAGATATGGTTTAACGCTGTTATTTGGTATCCCCTTTCGACCTTCCTGGTTCGAACTGGGCCATATTTACATTGTTACCATATTTATGCCCCACCCTGTATAAACCAATCGCACACATAGTTGTGCCACAGTGTCCCCCTGTAGTTCCATAGACCTGTCCGTCTGTTTATAGGTGTGTGCGTCAGCCAACTTCCCTCCCACATCAGATGGTATGATAGGATCTGGGATAAATTAATTGATAACAAATCTAAGGAGCATATATGAATTGC